ATATCAATATGCTTCCATCTTTTAAAACTGGTCTTATAATACTTCTTACGTACTGTTTATGATTTATGCAAATTATCCTATTGATTTGTATGCACAATGCTAATATTTTATATGCTATTACATGTACATACATACATATACATTAATGTATGCATTGATACTTTTAACAACTTCTAAGATTATTTATTATTATTATTATATGGTATTTAATTATCATAACAGTTCCATGAAGCAAACAGGGCAAATTTTCTTTTGCTTATCTTAAGGATAAGAAAATAAAATTCCACAGGATTAAGAGATTTATCCAAAAATTACATGAATTCTACATGGTGAGAGTTGGGCTGAAACATTATTCTATGCAAAATAATTAAGCTTCTCATTTTGTAAGTGATAGTGTTCAGTGGTAGAAGAGAAAACAATCAAGATTGTATGAGAGAGAAAGCTGTTTATGTCCAATAATTATCAACATCTTTTTATAACCCATTCCAACTTAACTACAAGTATTGGGATTTTTTTCTATATATAAATACTCATAGCCTTATTTATATGCTTACTACAGGCATGTCATAATATTGAATACTTTTTAAAATAGCATACTGGGGACAAATGCGTATGAAATTACTCAAAATTGATAACCTAATGATTACAAAGTGTACATTGACATTGTAATATCTAAATTAAGTAATAATGTTTTCCAACTTTAGCTGGGGTAGAATAGAATTGAAATTAATTAAAAATGTGAAACATTAAGTAAGAAATAAATGGAAACATTCTAATTTATATTTAAAATATCAGAACTGTGATTTCATTTCTTTAGCATCTACTATTACAAGAACGTCATTAAAAAAGAGAGAATTAGGTTGTTATTCTACCACTAGGTAAAAATTAACATAACTTTTGTCATTGTTTTTATATACTTACTTACATTTGTCCTTCCATCTTAAAAAAAAAAAAAAAAAAGAAAAAAAGTACTTTGCGGCTATTGGATAATTGACATTTTTAAATGAGTTTAAAAGTCTAATTTTGGTTTGGTTTGCAACAGCCAGAACATTCACAGAAGTTTTCTAATTTTCAACCAACAATACTGCTTTTGAGAAAAAAAAAAATCCCAGAAGGTTTGTGTCTAAATTAAACAGGTCAGCAGTTGATCTTAATTTAATTTACTAAACAATTTCATTTAGCAGTTCAGAGACTTGGGCTTCTTCCATGAAAGTGTAGCCATGTGGAGGATTCTACTATTTCATCTAATTTATCTCTGTCCTCCTTTATTGTTAAAGTGCATTGCAAGGGCCCAGAAATACCTACTTGTCACAAACCCACCGTTGAAGCAATACATGGCAAATCATTATAGAGTTTAGTGTTTTATAATTAATTTGCTGTATTGCATTGTTTAAAAAGAAAAAAAAAACAGCTTTTTCAATATAAAAGCAATGTATTTCAAAGCCTTAGGCTTCCTTAGTTTCCAGGTCAAACTATTTTCAAATTCGACACAAGTTTCTGAATTTTCATTCCTGTGGTCAGATAGTTCCACTGTGCTGTACACATCAGGGTCTGGTGTGCTCAGAAGCACACAGATTTCTGGTTAACTGCAAGAATCAGGAAATGCACTTTTGTATTAGGAAGTGACCCCTAAGTTGCAAATTGTGAAACAAATATATATATTTGGTAATAAAATTTTCCCCACCACCTATTCTCACCCTGCAATGTAGAAGAAAGGGTCTAGAAACATAGTGTAAATGAAAAATAACTTTAAGTATGTCTACAATGTCCACAGTAAAAATAATAATAATAAGATTTGAACATGCTACAGAATGTTTCTAGAATGTGTATTTATTTATAAAGCTAAATTATTTGATAATGATATTAGGTAAATATTTAGGCATTATTTTATTCTCTGGATATGTTTTTAGAAACGTGAAGATATAAGTGCTCTATTGTATTTATTTTCCAAGTAGGATTTATTTTATTGCAATAGAAGTATACCTTATTTCTCAAAATAATGCTATGATAACATTAATGTTTTACAGCTGCATTGAGTCAATTCATAGACTTATCAAGTAATAGAAATAACACATATCTCTCTTCTCAAATGATTTGTATATATGACTAATAATTTTGTTCTTAATAAGATCATAGGCAACATCAAAATATAACTATTCAACTTGTCAGACTATTGGTTCCTAGGTATAACAGTTATTTTTTTTATTTTCAATGTATAAAATACGAAAATATAACTTGAGAATAGAAATGTCAGAACCAAGCACCATCTATTAATTTGTTATGAAAATATAACTAGAGAATAGAAATTCCAGAACTAAGCACCATCAATTAATTTGTTGATACCTATTCATTATAATGGAATTAAATTCAAAATCAAATTATTAGAGTAAAAACTGATCTATGAATAATCTTTATAATTCAAAATTAACAGAACATCAGTTTTATAATATATTTAATTCTGTATATATTTTTTCTTCAAAAGATATTCAGATTTTACCAGAACTTACTTACATAAATGAATAAGCTTGTATTTCAGACTTTAATGGAACATTATTTGTGTAATTTTTCTATTTTCCATGTCATATACTTACCCACCTTCTAATTTTATTGATTACACTATTTTGAAAGGTTTTTTTTTTTCTACATTAAGACAGTAAAGTTTAGAAATAAGCATTATGTATTGAACTGATCATCTATTCAAATAGGACATTTGCCAGAATTAGCCAACAACCTGTTAACTCTTTCCTCTCCCCGGTTTTTGTGAGAATGCAGGCATTACTTATAAGTGACGCAATTCCTCTTACACTTAAAAACATACCCTTACATTGTAGTGAGTAGAAAAAACTTATAAAACACTAAAATATTTCCCAATAGTTCTGTCAACATTTGACACCAGTGATTAATGTCCTATATTAACATGGTAATACCTCAACCTTATTCCAAATACTCTATTTCCTAAAATATTTTCTTCTGCTTTAATTTTGACATATGAAAAATAGCTATAAAATAACTTGAGAAACATAGTATATTGATTTTTAATTGGAAGTAAAATTAGGATTTATAATTTAACTCCTTTATGAAATGCACACCAAACACATTCAAATTTTTATGTAACACACAATTTGCTCAGAAGCATCAAAAATAGATGACATGAATTAGAATATGAATTATTAGATATGTGGAATTAGAAAAAGTATATCTGTTAAATTACAAATAAATTGTTTTAATATCAAATAGGTATATATTTAAAAATTAGAAGTAAATTAATTGCTCAGCTAAAATATTTTTAATGTGCTGTAACACCATAGACACACCTTTATTTATTACAGATGATAAAACTATAGTGCTAAACTAATCAAATTCAAATCAATTTAACCAAATATATTTCAGCAACACAGTGTTTAAGAAATTCAAAATATGCTGAAGAATGAAAAACTAATTGCCTTATAATCAAAAGCAGTCAGTTTTAAAATTCTACCCAACAGGTAGATGATAAATTTTTCATTTCTCAGTTGTGTTTTTAGCAAGAAGTTGTCAAAAAAGTTTGACATCTCTTAAACTTGCATCTAATTTGTCTGTGTTTATGAACCTAATGTTGATATGTAAAACCACAGAACAGGAAGAAGAGGGTGGCTACAGTTCTGTTAAAATATGTATACATCAGGATTTGCAGATACCATGCATGATGTGAAAGGATGCTTGTTTTCCAAAAGGAAATGGGCACTGTCTTTTCCTCAGTTCTTGTTGTTGTTTTTCTCTTATGTCAAATGATTCCCAACTAAATTTGAGACAATAAGGGGTATTGTTAATTAATTTTCCCAGTATTTGGATATATTAGAATGACTAACAATGGATAAATATAATGCTGCTGTATCCAAAAGGCTACAAAATTAAGAAGTCATTTTTTCTCATAAATTCAAAAATCTCAACCTTCCATTGATATTATGTTTTCAGTAATTTTATAAAACTTCTACCCAAGGAAGGGTGTTGAATTAAAACATCTAATCTGCTTGTACTTTAAAAATGCTTTTATATAAGAAAAGTAGAACGATCAGTACGTGTGATGTTACAAGTTCAGAAAACAATTGAAATACAAAGTTTGCGCCTTTCTGGTATATTAAACCAAGTTTCACCTTTGACTGGTTTGACCTGGTGATGTCTGTTTTAACCCTGTTTTGATCTTCAATTTCAAGGCAGCAAGAGTCAAGCCACATAGATTAATTCTTTCCAAACTTTTGATTTTTCTTTCATTTTTACACGAGTGTAAATTTTTGAATATCGATGTGCGCTCTTTACTCCCTAGCTGATACTGTGAGATACTATAAGAATCTCAGGAGTTTTTAATAATAGTTGAGGTTTCATTAAACTTAGTTCTCAAGTGACACCTTAAAGTTTATTCATCAAATAACTCAGGGTGTAAAAGTAGCACATAAACATTAATTGAACCGTCATTAAGCAGTATAACTGTTTTCAATTAATAGAGGACATTTAGCTCCATACCGTGTGGTGGAAAACAATTAGGTCTTATGATACACGTGCTGTTAAGGATACTGCTACCAGACCTGACCAGCTACACTTTACAAAATAGCAGTCAGCTGTAGTCAGAAGCGTGCCCAAGTCATAGGAAGTCATATTTTTACTGCCATGTCCTCGCTGCTTATAAATATTGTTATGTGCCTCATGCCTTATGCTAATGGCAATGACTAATGTTTGTCATTATCTTCACTCCATCTTAGTTTAGAAAACCCCTCAGGAGAGACTGATCATAGCTAGGATGCTGCTTAAAGTGAAAGTGTTTTTCTAAAACACATAATATAAAAAGCACTTAAATACAAAAGGTGGGATGGATAATTTATTTTGTTTTGGGTATGCTTGACAACCGCTACTGTTATTAAATTTGCCATGAGACTGATTGATGTCCTATATGAGAATGCCTTATAGATGCTTGTATGTGTGATTGCATAATGCTTTAAAGTTGTTCTGCTCATCTGGGACTGTAGGTGAAGATGTAAGATACAAAAATGAAAAGCTGGAATAAATCCAAGACCGGCTGTTTGGAGGTTTCATTTTTTAACAGCGGAGGTGAGTCCCTTCATCCGTTTGTGATTTCATTTATGAACTCTGCTTACAAGACAGGTATAGAACACTTCATTATGGGCCCAAACATATATGTTTAAATGGATAAAGCAGCTGTTACATCAGATGGAGGCAAAGTGGGGACATTAAATTAATGTCAAACAAGGAGAAACTCTTTTAGTTTTATTCTACATTGTAGCAGCATAGTGATAATGTGCTGATTTTCATATGCACACAATTTCTGTATGTCTTATATCACCAGAACATGAGGTTATGAATTCCTGTATTATGAAGTAAAAATAAAAGCAATAATAAACTAATAAGGAAATATATTTTGTTCAGAGAATGTGATGAATGTTCACACTGTTTTTCATAATAAGGAGGATGGGGGACAAAAAGTTTCTGTGAAGAAATGTCATCCACCTTACATGATGGTTATTGAGTCTTTGTCTAAAGTATTACTGTAGTCATCCTGCCAAGTTTCACCTTTTTTTATTAGAGGAGAAGTTCAATTTCATGGGATAGGGCCAAGATATAGGGACTTCCAATAAATCTTCATAGAATGAAATGGGATGGAATGGAGTAGGGTAGAACAGAACCCAGTAGAATAGGACTGCAATTATGTGTTCCTCCCTTTAATTCTAATTTGTTCTGAAACACAAGGAGAAATAAATGTATGGCTGGATGGTCAGCGATATAGATGATTTGGAAGGTAAGCTTCCATTTTGTTCCTTATATATTCCTGTATTTTAAAACAGGGAGTGTAAATTACAGTTATGTTTGCTGAATGAGATAGGAAATTGTGTAAGATATATTTCAGAAATTTTTTTCTTAAAAGAACTTGAGTAATTTTTTTAAATGAAGATACATTTCCCAGGACTTGATATTCAGAAAGACCTTAGGGAAGAGTTGAGAACGGTTATGGATACTATAGAAACACTGTGCCTCCTTCTATTTTGTCTCAGAGCAGTTTGGAGGAAAACAGAATCTTATCTTTATGACCATCTTGAATCTGATCCATACTTAACATCTTTCCCAATTCTTTTCAGAGTTCCATGTAAATTCTCCTGTACAATGTAACACTGTCTTTCGAATTCACTGTCAGTTACAAACTACACTGTAGATGAAGTGACCATACGTCCCGGTTTATGCCTGTTGTTTTAGGGTCATTATCATTAGCACTACCTTTTACTCTCAGATGTGTCCCAGTAGGGATGACAAATTATGGTAGCCTTATCTATAAATAATAATAACATGTCAATAATGATAACCAATAGCCCTACTGGAAGCTTGCTATTTGTCAGAGACTTTGAGTGCTTTCATGTATAATGAATTCTTCATAATAACCCAATGAGGCAAGTATTTTATTTCCCCCATTTTACAGTAGAAGAAACAAGAGTTAGAGAGGTTAAATAGCATGGCCTGCTCACATAATGGGCCCAACCTTAAATCAGACAGAGATCTGACTTTATAACATCATGTGCCAGAAGATGGTTATGCTATCTTCTTATTTGCTTGCTGATAGAATTAGCTTTGCTTTTTTTTAATATACTCAAAGATTATCAATAGTTTTCATTTACTATTCTTCCTAGATTCTACAACTATATTTTTATAAGGACTGTGGATTTTAAGATGCAAGAAAAGAGCACTGAAGTGAACTAAAATTATCTGGGTTTTAGTTCAGGATATTAATTTTACTATATTAATAAAAATAACTGTGATTTGTTGAATGACTAGTATATGCAAGATTGGGACTTTCCCTTTGTTGTATCACTGACTCCAAAAACGGCAGTGCAAGGCAGAACATTTGAACCCCATGAATGTATATGATTGCTTTAGCTATTAGCCCTAAATTGGTTCATAGGTTACAAATGAAGCTTGGGGCATTAAATAGTTTCAGCAGGCCTCTCCAAGCTCTGACATTCTTATCCCTAGCTGCCTCTAGGAGTACTTGATTATCAGGATATAAGATACAGAATCTGGATGCAAGGAAAAATTCTTGGGTCAAAGGGACTTCCTCAGCACCTCATGTTTATATTAACTACTGTGCATTGAGTGCTTAATAAGGGCATGCACTTTACATATTTTTGTAAACATATTTTCTTCTATTTTCCTCCTTACCATAGGTCAAAAAAGAAGATAATTTGGATTTGAACCAATGTAAGTTTAGCTCCACTATGCTAGAGAGATCATCTATCTCTGAAACTCTCTATAGATTACCATCATTTAGGAACTTTTCTGAAAAGCAGTATTAAAGATGAATAAATAATATTTACTGATAATCAAATTTGTTCCACAACTGTATAAAGAATATAAAAACAGATATAATAGTGTATAGAGATTGTTGAAATTCCTTGTCATATTTTCAAATAAAAAGTGTGGAAATTTTTACTAGTGCAGAGTAAGTTCTGTATGCTGCAAAGAACAAGGTAAATGTAAATCTGTGCCTATACTCAAAAGATGATTACAATTCACTTGGGAATACAAGAATATAAATCCACAAATGTGGATTGTGTACTATTATAAAATGCCAAATTGTATAGTGTTATTTGAACAGTGGTTCTTAACCACATATGCATATCAGCATCATGCATGGTGTGTTTTAAAACTACAGATGTCAGGACCCTACTGCATTGACTAAGTAAGTTTTTGAGGTTAGAACCTAGAAATATGTGTTTTTAAAATTCCATGGATGATTTTGAGGTGTACTATGGATAACAACCACTGGATTAATATATATGTGTAACATATTAATATGTTAATTATGCAGATTTTAAAAGTTAATTTTGGCTGGGATATAAAAAGATGGCTTTGTAGAAGAGACAGGATTTGAATGGAAGGTCAGATGTGGACAGAAGGTAAAAGAAACATTTATTTCTTTTTCTTATTTAGCCCAAAATAAAATTTTATCTTTAAGGTTTTTATCTGCATTTCAGATTCCTAATTGGATTGGGCTGGAATAGAAAATAAAACATAAAACAATAAATACCTGGAAATGTTCAATTATTTTCTAATATATCTATGATATGGCTATATGAAAATCAGGTTTGAAAACTTGCCTGAAAACTTGTATATTATTATATTTATATTAATATCAATAAGGAAATCTAATCATGGCTAATAAATACAATTTAGGCCACAAACTGCCAAAGGGCAGGATTCATGCTTTATTCAAATTTGAATTCTTAGATATTTAGCATAGTGGACTAGCCTATGCATAATATATATTTGTTTGTTGAATTAATTAGATATTTGGATTTATTTGCTTTATTTATCCCACCTTGTGGGGCAAATTTCATTGGTCTCCATTTGAAGTCTTAAGAACTTTTGCTATGAAGGTTTTGGTTTATTCATCTATTTGTTTCTTGACCCAGAACTAATGTTCTGACAAAGACTCACAATCATTAGCTTATAGGAGAAAACTTTTAGGTTTTTTCTTTCCAAGAAAAAGACTGAAAGGAAGGAAAGACAGGTGGAAAAGGCAAACGAGAGTTGCAGGAGAGTTCCTTATTAACAACGGGAGAGTTCTCCTTCTAAGTTTATGCCCAGAACAGCTGGTAAACCACTCTTCTCAGACCAGTCCTTCCACAGGGAGCACTGAAGTCACCAGACCCGCCTATGATCAGGAGAAAGGCTTCTAAAGCTTTCCCAAGCTCTATCTACTAACCAATTTTTTTATTAGGACACATTTGTTTTGTCACTGTTTTGGTTTGGGGTGTTAATGGAGCTTTAAAGGCACAGTAAAAAGATCACAAAAGCTCTTTTTCTTATGTTGCATTATGTCTTCCCAGCACCAGTCAAGCCAGGGTTCTTTTGCTTTTTGGTTGTTGTTGTGGAAACGATGTCAGATGTTCATATTTTCCCAGTGGAATTTTACAATACTTTTGGAAACAGTTTCGTAGGGTGAAAATAAGAAGAAAGAATGAAAACAAAACACAGATGGGAAAAAAGTACGGTGAGTTGATGACAGAAAGCTTTGATTTTCATGGTTCTACTTTTGAAAATAAGGGTAAAAGTCGAGGGCGTCATACAGTGCTTAGCTGTGGACATCCATGTGTAAAAACATTTTCAGTGTGAGATGACTTTGATAATGATGACAGCCTCTTATTTTGGTATTAGGAAAGGGGCAGGTAAGATCCGGAGGATGGAGCTTGGGCAGAAGCTGTTGTTACAGGACAGGATTCCTGTAATCTACTGTCTCTATGGGCCATCTTTTGAGTAGTTGCACTTTTTCGGCTTCCCCACTCCTTTCTCCAGGTGCTATGTGATTGCTTCACCCTAGACAAGCCTGTTTTTCCTCAAGGGAAAACAAATCCAAAATAAACATGATTACATAATTCTTTGTAAGCAATGATTGAATAAGAACATATCTAAAACAGTTTAATTCATACTGGGTGGCATAAAACAGCTGGAAATCAAATGAATTTCTGTTTTAGGAATGTTTCAAAAGTGGACCATCACATGCATGGTATATACGTCATCTTGAATACAACAGTAATTTCAATCAGTCAGTAATGTGCTGGCACCGGCGCATATAAGCTCATAGGATCCAAACATGTGCTTCTCTTCTCAACTAAACTGCAATGACTTCATTTTGGTAGCTTGAAGTAGACCCTGGTGTGTCTACTTATACCATAGAAATTGGGGAATGTTACAAATCTGGACTTTTTAATTATTTTGCAGAAAGCCAGTTTACCAGTACACCACTGAGTTACATGCACATTTTAGAAGTAAAAAGAGACCCAATATAAATATATGTCTCTGTAATTAGGGATGTTACTTGCTGAGTAAATATTTAAAGAAGACACTGCTTAAGAGACACAGTATTTTGTTAGACTGTCTAGGCTCAAATCTGTTATTAGTTGTCACTTAACTTCTCTGTCTTTTTGTCTTCTTATCCTTAAAATGAGAACTTCATATGATTTTTCTGATGATGAAATGAGTTAATATATATGATACACTCAAAAAAGTGCCTGGCAGAGAAGGTTCTCAATAAGTATATTCTATTAGTAGCAACAAGATACGAGGCTATATGGTTTTTACAATCTTCTCTTAAAAGACTGCCTAAATTCAGTGTTACTTTCCTTGTTGAGCTTTTATATCTCAGAAGCCCATACTCAATTTCCACAAGTTTTGTAAAGATCTGTTAAATGAAAGCACATCAAATCACTCTGAAATGCATAAAGCACTATGTAAATGAAAGGTGGAATAATTATGTTAAAGACATCATCTTGAATTTTGTTTATACTGCATCTCTGAAACGAGCATCAGATTTCTCTCTAGGCAGTTACTGCTCCTACAGAAACAAACACAGATGGTGCCCAAACTTCCTACTGAAGACTTTGAGGCAATGGCATTTATCAAAATACATCCGGTCACTAAATGTACAAAAACTTCAAACAAACTCCACATCTCAGTGTCAGGCCAACATGGTTATTTAGGCAAATAAGCCTTTCTTTGATAATTCAAGGATTTTCTGATGTGTGAAATGGATTACTTCAACAAATAAAAAATCTTACATGTAGGCTAAGTTTTATAAAACAGGATATTAACATAGCAATTTCTTTTAGAGAAAAACAAATCAGTTTGTCTTCTGTGATGAGCATTTCTAATTAAATTTAAAGTAATTTTTTGGTTGTGCGTGGACACGTTCCCTTTTCCCATTGACCTTCTGGTCACATTAAGCAGAAAAAATATATGTTTTAAAAATATGTACTTAGGCAAGGCACGGTGGCTCACGCCTGTAATCCCAACACTTTTGGAGACCAAGGCAGGTGGATCACCTGAGGTCAGGAGTTCGAGACCAGCCTGACCAACATGGTGAAACCCTGTCTCTACTAAAAATACAAAAAATTAGCCAGATGTGGTGGCACATGCCTGTAATCCCAGCTACTTGGGAGGCTGAGGCAGGAGTATCACTTGAACTAGGAGGTGGAGGTTGCAGGGAGCCGAGCTTGCACCACTGCTCTCCAGCCTGGGCAACAGAGTGCAAAACTCCATCTCAAAAAATACGTGTGTGTGTGTGTGTGTGTGTGTGTGTGTGTGTGTGTGTGTGTGTGTATTTAAACATTTTAAGAACCTAGTCTTTGGAACACAGACCTTATTCCGCAGGATAGTCCTGGGATTTCTGTAACTTAAACTCTCCTTAATGGGTTTTGTGTTGTTTCTGGGCATGTTTGCCTTTGAATCCACCTTTTGCCCTTTCTCTGGCTCAGTTAGCAGGAGGGAGATCTGACCCCTAAGGTTTCCTTTCCCAGAGAGCTGTCTCAGCTAGCTTGCAACTGGCTTCTGCCAGTGGGGGTTTGGGGATAAGTACCCTGGAAGGAGCCTATGAGATTGAGAAAAAGGTAGAAGTCAGGTTATTTTCCCAACATTAATTTTGCCTCCTGCACCTTCCCCAGCAGCAGCTGTATCTTTTCCCCACTCTGCCTCTCACTACCCAAGTTTGCCACAGTTCCAGTTCCCAGCAGGTAATCCAAGGCTCCTGTGTTAGTTATAGAAGCATCCCCTTGTCCTGTCCTGTGTCCCTCCAGCCTAGGGTTAGCTACAACTTGCTCCTGTTACTAATTTCGGAGTTGAGCAACTCAGAGAAGAAATGGGTAATGAAAGAGACAAGAAGTGAGCCTTTGCTCTGTTGGTTTCTTGTCTCTTTCATTACCCATTTCTTGCTTTAACTAAGCCCCTGCATTATAGTCCTTTACTCCAAATGAACCCTATTTTCCTAACTGAACCCTGATTGACCCAAGGTCTGACACAGGCCACTTGCCCATACTGGATTCTTGAGCAAACAACAGAAGTGCTCTTCTCTCTCCTGTACCCATCATGAAGATTCCAGAGATTTCTGGTTCATAAACACTAACAATCATGGTTCCCTTTACAGCTCTCCTCCTTTAGTTAAATGATGATTCTACCCTCAAGTCTGCACCATATTCCTGAGATGTTGGCAGAGATAAAGTATTTTTCTGTGTTTCTGCTAACATTAGTGTCACAAGACACTCAGAAATTATACTTGATTATTAACCTTCTTCAGGCCATATCCCTCAAATTCACTGCAAGGAATTGATTTATAGGTGGTTAGTCTATCAAATATTAGTGCCCTTTCTAGTAAGTTACAAAGAATGACAGGGTCTCCAGATCTATTTCCACATAGGAGAATAGCAGGACTGAAATATGGACCTGTTAGATTTTATTCTAAAATTCTATTCCTTGTGCTTTTTTTTTTTTTTTTTTTTTTTTTTTTTTTTTTTTTTTTTTTTGAGGAAGGAAATTTGGGCCACAAAGCAAATTCGTATCTTAAAAGCTTAAATTAATCCTGTAAATATATTCTTAATCCAAAGCTGCCAAACTAGGGTTGTGTGTTCCATGAATTTGTTAAATTTATTTTGAATTTTGAATGTTGAAACATGCAATCTTGCTGAGTTTCTAAAAATAATATTTTATAATTTTTTTCACCATTTTTCTGTATACCCATCCTACTACACTGCTCCTTCTTCCCCACATGATCTTTTTTATTTTACTTTCTTTTGCCGTGTTATAAATTCTAAGCCAAGTAACTATCCTTGCCAGGAGTATTCTCTGAACTCTCCCAGTCACTGTCTGGGGAGCATTGCTTTGTAGCTTCAATTTGTGCCTCCATAGAGCGTTTTATGAAATGGTTTACCTCTCTCTCTCTCTCTCTCTCTCTCTCTCTCTCGCTCTCAGTTTCACATTAGACTTGAAGTTCCATAAAGGAAGGACTGTTTTATCTTTGCATTCCTAGTGTCCACTAACTTCCCTGACACCTAGAAATCATTCAAATAATATTTGTTAAGCTGATTCTGAACAACACTGAAAGTTTCAAGGCCTCTCATGCTGGACGAATTTTAGTATTAGGATCTTCAAATAGATTTTTATTTTTAAATATTTTTAGAACTAGAAATATTTACGAACATATAACAGACTTGTTATTTTAGAAGATGCCTAGTGTTTATACCCTGTCCATAGAAGTCGTTACATCTTTGTTGAACGACATTGATACATAAGGTAAACAGGCACTTGAGAGGAACAGTAGCACTTTAACAAGTTTAGGACAAAGCTTTTCAACTCCTTATCTTGTTTACATTCTTTTTCACTAGACATTGCATCCTCTCTCTGTGTTCGTCTTCCTAAATTTAAGCCCTTATTTTCAGTGTCCATCTAAATATATTCTCACTGACTCCACCATCAATTAAGTAAATGCCATGTCTCTAACTCATTTCCTTTAAAAAGGATGAGCTCAGCCATGCTCTGTTTATTCCATTTATAATAGCTCTCTTTGCACATTTTGGTCCATTGCCTCCGGTGTCATTTCTCATGCATCTGTTTATTCTACCCAATTAGACTCAGAAGCTTTGCAGTCAAAGGTACTTTTTCTTTTATATCTCCTCACAGCATGTTCACAACATAGGCTTGTAAACTAAATGTCTTCTAGATTTCACCAATCTGTGCTGGTATGTTGTTTCTTGAAAATGAACACACTGATGTGCTCACTCTGTGCCCGTGGCTACATCCATGGGCATTTTGGTCACCCACACAGGACACAGCTCTGAGTGGTTCCTTTATTCTAGACCAGGGATTCTGGGAGCTAGGCTATGAAGCACAGGGAGTTCAAGTCCCCTTTGCCACTTTTCTTTGAATCAAGTAATATCCCTAACCTATCTCTTCCCAGGGACTCCCTATTGCCTTTCTAGTAGTTCCCATCATTAATAATTTGTTATCTGTCAAATAACCTCTTGGTTTCCTTCATAGCACTTGTGATGATTTGTAACTATATATACATGTAAAATATGTATAGAATAAGCACATAAAGTGTATAAGTTTAAATTATATATAAATATGTAAAATATATAGTAAATATAAAGTGGATGCATGTATATGTATAATACATACAAAAATCACATCATACATATGAGCATATATATGTGTTTGTTTCATGTTTTCTTCTTCTTTTTTTTCACCACAGATTTTCTTCATCTGAACTCGCCTCACCACTACAGATCCAAGCCTGACACAGAGCCTAACAGAAGTAGGTATCATAAATATTTGTTAAATAAATAAAAGGTGAATGAATGTATCTATGACAGTGAAGATTTCTTTCCAATTATTAATTATATGAGATATTAAGTTTTACTGAACAAAAAGCATAGAAAGGAGAGAACTAGAAACAGAGAAAAGCAAAAGAGCAAATTTTCTTCTCTCCACTCCAAAATTTCATAGGTTTATAATCTGTCTTATCCTAGAAAGCGGCTCCCAGACTTCTCAGTTTGTTTTTACCTGGAGAAAGGAAAGGGGAAGTCAAGAAAATCTCTGCTGTCCACTGTTGGTGCTACCCACCAATAAAATCTATAAATATTACAATTAAAAAGCTAATGATTTCCAAGTAGTATAGCAAAAAAACAAATTGGGCATTCCTACATTTACTGTTACAACCTCCCACTTCTTTACCAGTACAATCTGGATATCTTTAGAACGTACTTATAGCATATGCACTTATTCCTCCTAAATAAAAAATTCTGATGACTAAACAGGAATGGAACATAATTACAGGAGTAAGTATTGACTGTGGTGATTCATGACAAGCACTGTGAGCCAGAAGGCTTGGTTTCAAGTCCTGGTTCCACAATTTTCCAGCTGTGAGATTTTGGACAAGATATGTAATCTTACTTTGCCTCTGTCTTTTCATTTGTAAAATGAATATCATAATAGTTCAGGTTGAGCAGACCTAATCCCAAGTCCAAAATTCTCCAAAATCTGAAACCTTTTGGGCACCATATAATGCCACAAGAGGAAAATTTCACACCTGAGCTCATGTGACGAGTTGCAGTCAAAATGCAGGTGCAAAACACACAGTTTATTCAGCATCCCCAAGACGAAAATAAAACTACCTTCAGGTTATGAATATAAAATGTACATAAAACATAAATAAATTTCATGTTTAGACTTGGGTTCCATCCCTGAGATATCTTATTATGTAGCAAATATCTATTATAGCAAATATTACAAAATCTAAAAAAAAATTGAAATCCAAAACACCTCTGCTCCCATGCACTCCAAATAAGGAATGCTCCCCCTGTACCTAAGTCATAGGCTTTGTTTTAGCATTAAATCACTTAGAGCACCTAAAACCCTTAGAATAATGTCTAGCACATAGGAAACAATACATGTTTATCAATCACATTCTTATTATTTGTATTATTATTTCTGTCACCATTTCCAAATTAAGACAGCTTCACTTCCAATACAGAATGGTTGAATTTCCATTAAGACTAAGCAAGGAAAACAGAGAAAATGTACACATTGGAAATAGTAAGAAGGAAAAGGGAATACAGCCAGAGATGCCTTAGAAATATAAAACAGCACAGTAGAAAGTCAGGATTCTCAGATATTGTTATGTCCTGTTAATAAAGTTTTTCTTTTTAATTCTTACCCCCATTAGAAAACCTTTCCTCATACACCTTCTAGACACTTAATGATGATAATTACTCTTATTTTATCTTCTTTGGTCTAAAAAATTTGGAGAACAATGTATCACAATGTACTTTTTAGTACCCCCAGCCTTGCTAAGGAATTTTAACTGATTTAACTCTATGATTTTCAAATGTGTTCATTCAAGAGTTGTTCATAGTCCCCATAGTTGTTTAAATTCTTGGCCTAATTTTTTTTTAAAAAAGGGGGCATTAAGTTTTTCATATATTTGACTGTATGGCATAAGATAATAACATCGTTAACCCTTAAAAAGAGAGACCTTTCCCATCTGACTGTGCTTATTCACTTATTTATCTTTTACAAATTTATGTTTATATTTAAATTAACAAATATTTAGAGTCTATTATGTGCCAGCCCTGTACTAGACATCTGATTAAAGGAAAAAAAAACATTTCTTAAAAAAAGCAGTAAACAGGGCATGACAGACAAAGTATCTGCTTGCATGAAGCCTAGAATCTAGAGAGAGTTTGGAACAATAAACAAAACACATAATATTTAAGTTACAAACCGAAATCATTTTTATGCCAGAAATAACTGGAAAGCAGGAGAGAAAATAATGGGGATGAGAGGTGGGGAGGTTGAGGGAAATTTTAGGCCAGTTACATAAGGCCTCTCTGAGGAAATGACATTTAAGCAACACCTGAAGGTAGAAAAGGAACCAGTCACTCAAATTGTTGGAAGAGCTGCATAATGCAGGCAGAAAGAATAGCAGTGCAGAGACCCTGCTATGGAAAAGAGCATGCACGAGTCATTGAGCCTGTAGCTGGACACTGATGAGCAGCTGGGACTTGGAGGGAGAATTACAGGTCTGACGATGCAGGGTTTTTCTAATTTGGATATTCTCAGGGTGGAACAGGGTACTGTTACAACGTACTAAGCAAAGAGCTAGCATGATCTCTACATGTTTCAAAAGATAACCCCGGTTGCTGTATGAAGAACCTATGGAAAGGAGATAAGAGTAAAATAAGAAGACAACCTAGCAGAACATTAGAGTAATCCAAACAAGAAACATATGTGACTTAGTCTTGAGTGTTGGTAATGCAGCTATCGATAACTGGATATGAGAGACAAGCAGGAAGTAGAAATGACAGAATTTCGTGATGGTTTGGATTGGAAATGGAGGAACTGTGTATGATCCTGAAGTTTCTGCCTCAAGTCTTAGATAATAGTTCTATTTACTAAGAAAGAAAAATTGTTGAAGTACCAGTTCTATCTTAATTAGGTTAATTTCATGATATTTATGTGACATCCCAGTGGAGATAATAAATAGGCGTTGGATTATACTGATTTATACAGATGTGAAGCTGTTATATAAATGAGCCAAAGATGGCCTCTGCGTATTGGCCCCCAGGTTGTTACTTCCTCAATATAGGCTGACACCCGCTAGCCCAAAAGCCCACCAGGGGATCAAATCAAATGTTTACACACGCATTTATTTTTAAAATAGGCTACATAAGCAGATTTTTAGCCATTTAAAATCTGACTGTTTTGCATATGCCACAAAACCTCACCCCACAGCTGCTAGCAGTAGATAAATCTCATGGGTTATAAAGAACCAAGCCACTGCTGCCCTTTGGAGCTCTTTGACCCGGACTCCTCAGCATGCCACTGAGCAACATTGCCTTGACACATAAGCCCCATCTCTCCTAGGAGTTTCCTTGCGTTCCTTCCTTTCTGAGTGCTGACCCTGACCCTTAGCTACTAGACAGACTCCCGCTGTGAAGGACTTCCTCTACAAGAGAAACTGGCAAAGTAGCCCCCGGTAAAGCTACTGCCACCTTGTGGTCGTATTTTTTTCCCCTTACCACAAAATGACCTACAAAAACTCAGAAAAATATACCCTGGGCCGGGCTCGGTGGCTCAAGCCTGTAATCCCAGCACTTTGGGAGGCCGAGACGGGAGGATAACGAGGTCAGGAGATCGAGACCATCCTGGCTAACCCAGTGAAACCTCGTCTCTACTAAAAAATACAAAAAAAAAAAAAAAAAAAAAACTAGCCGGGCGAGGTGGCGGGCGCCTGTAGTCCCAGCTACTCGGGAGACTGAGGCAGGAGAATGGCGTAAACCCGGGAGGCGGAGCTTGCAGTGAGCTGAGATCCGGCCACTGCACTCCAGCCTGGGCGACAGAGCGAGACTCCGTCTCAAAAAAAAAAAAAAGAAAGAAAGAAAGAAAAAAATATACCCTGGAGATACCTATCTGGACGGAAATAATTAGCATAGGGATGGAAATATTTAGCATAGAGATGGAAGGTCAAAGGAATCAATGATACTACTTCAGGAAGAGTGCCTGAAAATAAGGTAGGAAGGCCCGACTACATCTGATACCTTACAAAATTTGAGATCCAGTAAAGAGGAAAAACACAAATATTACCACTTGATCAATTTCTATTCATATTATTTTACTCAGGCCACACATTGGCTTCTTTGAGATAAAACTGTCTCCTTCCCTCCCCAGTCAGGATGGTTAGAATGACAGCCTTGTTTTCTGTTTCTACAGCTTTTCTATATAATTGCTTCACCACATATTATTGAAAGTGTCTGACTATTTGTCTGTCTTCATATGGTGCTGTCCTTGGAGGCAGAACATGTATTCATCTCTAAATTCCAGGAATCTAGCACAGCACCTGACACACAGGGCGAAATAAATATTTTCTGAATGAATAGGCAATCTGAACATATTAAAATAGCTGTGGAAAAGGCTCTTGATGATGATGCAGTGATAGAGGACTTCAAATGGCTGGGGAAGGTTAGGATACTTTTCCTTTTCATGATGATGGTTTTACTATCCATTCTTTCTTCTCAATCTGAAGTTGGATTCTAGCCTTATCTAAACAAAGACGTTAGGATATTGAGCTCACATGTATTGTCCCACAGGAATAATATAGGGAGAAAATGAAATAATATAAAAATATCTCAAGCAATTAGCAAGGCACCTAGTTTCATAAAAACTCAAGATGGCATAATTGAGGGCTAGTGTAAATTTTATCTTATAATATTATTATATTAATTTGGTTTTGCTTTCTTAAAAGAAATTTAAAATAAAAGAAAAAATAGGATTTTAGGTCAACTTATGTAAGATCTGAATCTGAGATGATTTTTCTCTTCCTTATTAGAAGCCCCCTTTGTGATATCAGTGCTGTTATTATTTTACTTTTATTTAAGGGAGCAAGGCTGGTCCAAGCATGTTATGACTTAGGTCATTGCTTCCACCTATTTTTTACTAAGATACTTGTTCATAGTTCATAATTTGGCCATTGAAACCCAAAACTAATATTGCGAAGTCTTTGACATCTACATCATAGCATTTACTGATTAAGGTAGAATAAGAATAAGAGTTAATAAGTACTTCATAGCAAAAATAAATAGTTGGAATGCATAAAAGATCATGGAGGCTAATTGAGTGATATCAACATATCCACAAAAGATCTCTGGACAAATGATGGTACAATATCCTCTACTTCTTTAACTATGAAACAAAGTTGATTGCAAGACATGTCATACATTAAATGAAAACTTTTGGTATAAAATATAATCAGCAATT